CATTTGGCAGGAGTATCCACCATGATCATCATGGTGAACAGCCCAGAGGTAAACAACCAAATTCTTCAAGATTTTAATGAACTAAAAGTTGACATCTGCAGGATTTCATCTTGCATCCCAAGCATACCCAAGGAAGGAATGGATACAGATGCAGCAATTATTCCTGTCCTTTAAATTTTCAGCTATATAAAGCTGGACTCACACATTGCATAAACATCCAGTGCAACCTTAACAAGTTCTTTGAACCCAAGTATTTTGATTTGTAAATCATAGCTCATGACAGTGGTATGTACAACCCTATGTACTGGCATACCTTGTTTTACTGCTTTTTAAAAAAAATACAAGATCCATCAACAGTAAAAAGGTTATAACTTCTGGATGGTTAAAATTTTTTAGCAGTAAAGTATTTCAGTTAAGATACGTACGGTTTTTTTTAGTCATAATGCTATTGTACACTTAATGGATTACAGTATAATATCAATATAACTTGTTTATGCAATGGGAAACCAAAACAGTTATGTGACTTGCCTTATTGTGATATTGCTTTATTGCAATGATCTGGAACCGAACCCACAATATTGCTGAGGTACACCTGTACATATGGTTGATGAGTTCCAGCAAACTATGGATCAATAATAATTTGACAAATGGAAAGGCTGTCTAACTCTTAGTGACAATGGTTAAAACATTTTTAAAAACAGAGAATAATACAAAAAAAAAACCCACAAAAATATCACAAGACAAAGAAACAGTGATGGCAAAGAAAATAAACCCAAAGGGGAATATGAAGGAATAAAAGAGTATTAATTGTCTTCTTCAAATATACTGTTTTCTTTTAAACAGAAGCTAAAGTCATTCACCTAAAATACTGCACTAGGGGACCAGACTTCCTTTTGTCTTATTCTAAAAATGAACTTTGCTTTAAAAATTATTGGGCTATTTTAAAATGATAGATCATTTTGTCTATTTTATTTATTTATAGAAACATGATTTTCTTTTTGCATGCTATGCTGGATGACTCCAAGGAAAGAATAATTTACAAAAAAAAAATGAAATTAATAATGATAGAAAATAGTCTATGACACTTTAATTGGATGCCAAAATTAATTTTTAAAATGGGGCAGAAGCAAAATGATGCAAACTGGTTCTGTATTTTCTCCTGTGATCTGAAGCCTTTTGTTCCCAAGAGAAAGATTTCAGAAAGAATGAAATCAGGAAATACTTGTTTGTGTGAGTTCTTATATACAGGTAATGCTTCACGTACAATCACAATTGAGCCCAAAATCTCTTTGGGTAAGCAAAACATTTGTTAAGTGAATTTTGTTCCATTTTACGCCCATTCTTGCCACAGTTGTTAAGTGAATCACTACAGTTGTTAAGTTAGTCACACGGTCATTAAGTGAATCAGGCTTCCGTACTTCGCTTGTAAGAAGATTGCAGAAAGGGATCGCATAACCCTGGGACACTGCAACCGCCATAAGTACAAGTCGGTGACCAAGAGTGTGAATTTGGATCACGTGACCATGGGGACGGTACAGTGGTCGTAAGTGTGAAAAAACGATCCAAAGTCACTTTTTTCAGTGCTGTTTGTAACTTTGAACAGCCACTAATTGAACTGTTGTAAGTCAAGGACTACCTGTAGAAATGGTAGATTTAGAAGTCCCTCTAATGCAGAGATGTCAAACTCGATTTCATTGAGGGCCGCATCAGAGTTGTGTTTGATCTCCGGGGGCCAGGGTGAGGGTGGGCAGCATGATGTCACTTGTGTCAGGGTGACGCCTGAGCAGTCTGCCAGTGAAAACAGGCTCCGTTTTTGGCTGGGACGGCCTCCTGCAACCCTCTGGCAGTGAAAATGGAGCTCGAGGGGGCCACGCAAGCCCTCGCAAACACCATTTTTGGCTGGGACGGCCTCCTGCAACCTGTCAAGGAAAATGGAGCTCGAGG